ACTTACCTGGTACTTACCTGTGCGTCTGCAACACCAATTCTAAATATATGCAACTATTAATGCATAAATAAAATAGGCAGATACTTTGCATGACATTTCAAAACGTATAATCATTTAAATTCATTTTCTGGGAAAAATCTCAAGTATATAGGTATATGCGGAAAACCAAAAACCCACTCACTGATATGTCGAAGGGTCGTAGCCCCCGAGCCTCGATTGATGGCGCTTATCCTTCAGATAGGTCTCACCTATATGCGAAATAACTAAATAAACGTTATTTAAAGCACATACACAAAACTAGGACATACTTCTCATACAATGCTCAAATTGGGTGTTTGAATATACCAACGTGATCTACTCAACACCACGAACATCCCCATATTTTTAGAAAATTTTTCCGACCACCCACGCGCCGGCCAAGGCAAGGCCAGACGCTCCCCCACACCTGGCCAACCCTGACGGAAACTTAACTACCGTTAGGAATATTCCGTTAAAACCTTAACATAAATTAACGGCGTTACCTGACAACGTTAGAATATTCCGTCAAACTTGACGGAATATTCCCCTTTGTCTTCCCTGGTTCGCCAGAGACCGTCGTCGGGGCCGCTGCGATCGCCGGTTTCTGGAAAATATTGAAACCTTCATATCTTCTTCATTTCTTAACCAAAATTCATGAAATTTGTACCAAAATGAAGCTTAGAGTGAGTAGAACACAATCTTACCACTTTCAAGCCTTGAACCCACGGAATCTCGCCGGAGAAACCTCGATAATCCAGTCAAAATTTGAAACTCGCAAACTGGAACTTCCCGCCGTCCAAAACACTCCAACTTTCTTCCCGAGCTTCGTGAAGATGTCCTAAAGCTTCCTAGAACCTTAAAATTCACTGAAACTTCCACGATCACGACTGCATGAATAGTAACCCAAAACTGGGTTCTCTGGTTCTCGGGAAAATGAGGTCTTCACGTCCAACCAATGCTAAAGATCAACTCCTAAGGTTGCAAAGGGCAAGAAAACAACTTCCAAAACTCCGATCCGTGAATGGATAGCTAGGGTAGGAGTTGTCCGTACGGTCGTATGGAAAATGGAGAAAAACCGAGAGGGAATGAGATAGAAAGTTCAACGGGAGCTTGGGTGTGTGTGTATGTGTGGTCCAACTTTGGTTTACTAACACAACAAAACCACTAACTTTAAGTTCCAAAAACTTAGGAACTAACTAGCTTAGTATAAAATCCAAACTTAAACCACACTACTACACAACGTCTAAGGGTACTTTAGTCTTTCCACACCACCGATACGAATAATCCACGACGGGCTGTCACACATTACTCTTCATTGAATATTAGACTTGAATTGGAACAAATGTTTAAAAATAACAACCCACATAGCTACTACCTACTAATTAAAAATAAATTAACAACCAAACAAAAATTCATAAAAATTGAAAAGAATAAACATGCACTTATTATTTCGAACTTAGGACCTCTCGTTAATTTTAAACAACAAAAACCATTGATTTTAATTAAACTTCTTGATCATTTAGCCAAATTTTATATATTTATACTCTTATGAGAAGAAATTTGTAAAAATTGAAAAGTAAATAAGCACACATAGAGTTTTGAACCCAAAACCTCATCATTAATTTCAAACAACAAAACCACCAATTCTAGTTAAATTTCTTTGTCATTGAACTAAATTTTATAAATTTATACTCTTATGAAAACATATATAAATATATTACCCTAATAATTTTGGTACCCCCAATTATTTTGGGTCCCAGACGGTCGTCCTGCCAGCGGCCTGGCCCGGCCCTGATTTTACCTAAAGTAAAATGCAATTTGAGGACAAAATTAAAGCATGTACCAAGTATAACAATTTGTGCGGAAGAAACCACAACCCCTATTCGTGGAACTGAAGATTCCAAATAATTGTAGGCAACATAACCCCTACCATGCTTTTCATGTCATTAAAGTATTGATGGTTTCTTTGCAAGTTGTAATCCCATTGATGCTTCAATTTCAAAGTGCGAAGTTGTTAAGTAATTGTTCACACGTTAATTCTTGATTAAGCAAACAAAATAGTGGATTTGGCAAATATATGAGTGCCACACAGAAGTTAGGCAGGATATATATATATATATATACACCAGCAACTTTTTATTACTTGCTTGTTAGACTACTCCAAAAAAAGTCAAAAATAGAGCAGGTATCCCAGTTGCACCTAAATTTTCTCGAGTAATTTCTGGTCTAGTCGAGTAGTTTTAATGCCTAATCAAATGCTTTCAATTTCTAATGTGCTAATGTTTTGATTTGTTAGTTAAGTGACAACTTTTCTCCCCTTTTTTGATATATTAGTTTGGGGTTTCTTATTATTTGATTATCTTCACAAGATTCTTAGATATGGTTTTTGGTTCAATTTCACAAAATTATGAAAGCACTCAGCCTTTGTTTATTGATCCTTCAGTTTGGGAATAATTTAATTTTGCGCCTTGTTTGGTCTCTAAATTTGGATGGGAACGGGTCATATGTTGAAGGAAGAAATGAAAAACTTATGTTCAACTTGAAGGTAGAAAATGAGTTACTTATAAAGGAAATACATCCATTATAATCCTACTCTAATTCCGAAAAAAAAAAATTGAAAAAGCGTTCACCTCTACCTTTTAATATACCTAAATTTAATAGGTCATCAATTTCAGTTCAATTATAAAAGCATGGTGCATCGTTTGGCATGTAGGATTGGAACCGTTCAATTTATTAATCTTGTGAGGGATGCACTTATCCCCATTTGCATCCATCCTATGTGGGGGATGCAAATATCTCCATTTGCGAATAGCGTATCTTGATCGAATAAGATCACGATCAAACCAGTCAATTTATTAATCTTCATTCAAATATCTCTCCTACAAAAAATCATCCAAATTGGTGATTGTTTGATACTCGTGTTCTGGGATTAGAGACCCAAAATTAGGAGTTGTAAAACAAGAGGAAGATGATTATTATACAGCAGAAGAAAATATCCAGAGAAAAAAACTTGATGTTGAAATAGAAGAGACTGAGGAAAGTGCAAACAAGCGGGAGGTATGTCTTTGATCTTAAGAGCAACTCCACCCATGGAGCCCTCCCCCTGGTAATCCACTATTTAATCTACCCTATTGAACAGTAATTGCCTTAAATGAATAGTAACTACCATTAATGAACAATAATTGCCATTTACATCTCCACCCTTGGAATCCTTCCCCCTGGCAATAAGCAATTAAAATAATAGTTTTTTTTGTTTGTTTAAATAATAAAAAATTGCAAAAGCTCCAGTCCTCTCTCTCTCTCTCTGACACAAAAAAAATAAAAAATTGCAAAGCCCTCGGGCCACAGGCCCGTCGACTCCCCACCCCCCCCCTTCGCTCGGGCTCCCACCATCGCTCGGCCTCCACACGGCTGGACCTCTCTCCACCGGGCCTCCAGCCCCTTCTTCTCCACTGTCCCCCGAGCAATCCACATGGGTGGAGTTGCTCTAATTGCTAGTAAGTATTAAGTTATAGTTACTATTGAGGTCGATGCTTTATGAAACCCAATTTAATAGCAGAAGGCAGCATATAGCATATATGCGTGTCTTTTGACGGGGATAGGACCATCAACTTTCGAAGGTCTTGAGCATTTCCTGCAGTTTTTTTTTACTTAAGTTTGAAGCTCACTTGAGCTCATATGATCACAAATTCACAATGACTTAAGTTTGTTTGTGTGTGCGTGTTTGAAGTTGATGCTTTACTTTTTCTGAAACCCAAATTTAAAAGCAGAAGGCAGCATATAGCATATATGCGTGTCTTTCGACGGGGATAGGACCACCAACTTTCGAATGTCTTGAGAATTTCCTGCATTTTCCACTGAACTGAACAGTGCTACTACACTTGCAGATCAGGATCAACGGAAGGCTTTGAAATTTGGGTTTTCTTCTAAAGGTGGCACCTCTAAGTCTAAGGTACGCGTATTGATTGAACTGTTCATGTTAAAGATGAGTTTGATTTAAGAGGAAGGTGATTTATGGTGGTTATTTTAGATATCTTTTGTTTGCTTTCATTGCTTGGCTCTAAGACTTAAAGTATTACTGCCACCGTCAACACTTTTGACCGGGAACTCTGCATATCGCACTCTGAACTTTGACAAAATAATTTGAGTAAATTGTAGCAATGATCTCTTAACTTTAATCAAATTGGAGCAATGATCCCTCATTAAGCCATTACCATTGGTCCCTCAACTCATCAATGTGTAGCTATGGTATTTTTCGTCAACTTCGTCAAAATTTTGTCAAAATGAGTTATATTGGAAGGACCATTGCTAAAATTGGGTTAAAGTTTGAGGGACCTATGCTCCAATTGGGTTAAAGTTGAGGGACCATTTCTCTAGTTGAATTAAAGTTGAGGGACCATTTCTCCAGTTGAATTAAAGTTGAGGGACCAATGATAATGAATTTTTAATTGAGGGACCATAGCTGCATGTTTTGATGGGTTGAAAGATCAATGGTAATGAATTTTTAGTTGAGGGATCATTGCTCCAATTGAGTTAAAGTTAAGAGACCGTTGCTACAATTTACTCGAATAATTACAATGTACTCATTTTATCTCATGGCAGTTTGATTGTAACATTTGTTATCAAGGCGATCCTTCATTAGCATATTGGTACTTTTCTCCCATTTTACAGATCTCGTTTGGTAGTGATGCAAAGAAGCCGAAAGTTGCCGTGGCCTCAGTATTTGGCAATGAAAGCGATGAAGAATGGTGCGACAGTACCTGCCATCGGCTCTGTACCTTATAAAGCTTCCGTTGCTCCCTTATGTAGTTTATGTGGCCTACGACACCAGTTATACCCAATTGTGTTGCATGAGAATGTAAGATCATTTTTATACCAATCGGAGTTAAAAACATCGATGCCTATGAACGATTGGTTTGTAACGATTGTTTATTCTTGTACTTTTTCAAAATCAAATATATTGAATCGAAGCGAAAAATGGATTTACAAAAATAGAAAACGAGATTAGATAAAATCCGTATGTACATTATTAAGTTACCAAAGCATCAGAGTCGGATTACATGACAATATTTTGATCTGATACAAATCTCCAACTTATAAGTTTCTGAAGCTAACAAGATACACAGAACCAGAACGGTACGGCATTAGGCAGCTTCGGCAAATCCAACTTGAAGGTCACCAAAGTCGAAAACAGTGTGGTACGCCCCCATGAATACATCTCCGAGAATCCTGCAGGCACATAGTGTCAGCTAAGACATAAACCCCTAATGAAAATGAAGTTAAGCTGGATAATTGGTAAAGGTTTATGCTAACATACCACAGAGGACCGGTTGGAGGAGGGATATCATAAGCTGTAAACCCGCTTATACAGACTTCAGCGACGCCTTCGCCAGTTTTCAGAACATACTGCAGAAAACATGGGAAATGGTTGCAGAGTTAAACCAATAATTAGTTCTCCGATAACAGCTCCAAGTCTGTGATTATGTTACTAGCGCAAGAAAGCATCAATTACAGGAGGAAAATCTGTAGGACTGTCGAAATCTAACCTGGTCGGGAGTGAGAACGAAAGGTTTATCTCCGATGGTGAAGGTAACGTTTGGCATGCTCGAAAGGCTACTGCACTCGACTATTGATTCTCCTGCTGGACTTGGGAGGCTATCGCAAAGCTGTTACAATTGACAACGAAACCAAAACTCATTACAAAAAATACAACTCGCAAATTTATTCCAAATTTTGGCTTCTTAGCAATTCATACTCACCTCACTAATGTAGCTAAGCACTTTCTCTTTTGTTCCTTTTTGTTTCAGCTGATTCTGAGCCCAAACAACAGCCATCTCACAAGCTGTGCACAAAGCACCGTTGCCGACAGATGATCCCTCCTTGCCTTCCTTCTCAACTACTGTTTCAATCCCCGTGCTGCCCAAAATTCGGTTTCACCATTAAAAGATGTATTGTGTCAAAGTGCGTTATATGCGTATGCAGATCCAGATGAAGGGTTTCCTGTCAAAACCCTTCATCCAAACCCTGTTGATATAACAAGTTCCGGCTTTTCTGGTGTACTTAACCAAGAAAAAGCTTTTTTCCCTAAGAATTTTCTGTAAAAATTGCATAACATAGTTTAAAATGCGTGTACAGCCAGCAGGATCAGAAGATTATCACGAAACATGGAAAACAACAACAACAACAAAGCCTTTTCCCACTAAAAACAAGGGACATAATTTAAACTATGAAGAGTATACTAACCTCACATACTTAGACCCATTGAAAATACATAAACCAAGCTGCTTACAAACTTGGCCAGGTTGTGCCTGCAGATTGCAGACAATGATATGATCCTTAAATCTGACCTTCGGTAATCCTTAAACCTTAAATCACAAGAAGTTAAGGATAAAAAGCAACTTACCCCTGATATCAGAAGATCCCATATCAGGTCTCCGTACTGAGACACGACTGTCTTACATTCTGCACTCACTACTCCTTCAGCTCCGATAGCATGGTTAAGCACTGTCACAGTAGTCTGGAAAACAAAAACAACAAATATAAAACCAAGCCTCGAGTATTTTCGAAAATTAAGCTATAGAAGACAAAGATGGAAGCACATACTGTTGGGCCAGTGAGCAAGGACGTTCCTGAATCCACAATAGCAGCACAACCCCCCTCACATTCACCTAAAATCGGACAACAAGAACAATCAACGACAAGAAAAATACTGCTAAGTTTCTCCTCCAAAACTAATAGATGGGAAATTTTTATGATCAAACTGCTACTGACTCACCCGTTGACTGGTTACCGATTATAAGATCACCCATTTCGAACTGAAAACAAAGAACATGTGTTTACTTATCAGATTTCTAACTGCAAGAATACGTACCAAAATAAGATACACAGAGTTTTAAAACATAATTTTAGTCACCTGCCAGTAACCCTTTTTAGTAACTGGAACATAGGTATGCTTCCCTTTGTAATGATTTGAGTCCACTCCGCCGAAAACAAGTTCACCTCCTACATCTGAATTTGTGTCTCGGTTAAGCCAGAACGAGAAGACATCATCGCTTAAAAGATCTTGTTCTGACATGGTTTGCCTGTAATATTAAGATTAATCAACTATAATCTGTGCAACTGTAGATTTTCGAGAGAAAACATCTAAATTAGATTTATTCAGAGGGAAAACATTAAAGTACCACAGTGGTGTAGCATTCCCAACAGAAATTTCTTGGAATCCAAGGCCAAGAAGTCCATCAAACTTTGCTATAACGAATGTGAGACTGCCTTCTTTTGTGGCCTCAATGAACTCCTGCATTTACAAAGTCAGTAAATAATGGTTACAATCATTGCAGCTTAGGCACGATAGAAACCGAATCTGAAAGTGAAAACCAAGAACAAAATAAAAGCAAAACCCCACTTGATTTTTGACGACAAGGTCTCCAACTTCAACATTGTCTTGACTGAAGAAACCGGAAATTGATCCACTTCCATATGTTATTGAAGCAGACGTCCCTGAACCAGAAGGAAACCATTACAATCTCATCTTGCATTTCACAAAAGGAAACAACTTTAAACTGATACCACGCTTACCAATTGCGGTATATGTGCTGGACTTGCTTGACTTGTACCGAGTGTGGAAATAGCACGCAAGCTGCACAAAATTATGAAACAATACGTGATTTTCTGCAAACTAAATTATGGAAAATGACAAGCTAAAAGTAAGCAAAACTTACAGAGAAGTAACATTTTGAAGAAGGAACCCAAAGATTGGAGCTTCCAGTGTCAAATATGACAGTGAAGTTCTGAGGAGGTGAGCCGATTCCAATCACCCCATAGTACTGAGCATCCAAGTAATTCTTCAGAGGTACGATATCTTCGTCTGAACTACCCAAATCCTGAGGCTTTCCCTCCCTTGCTATCCTTGCAGCTTTGATGGTTTGAAAATCCAACGGTCGCTTCTTCAGACCAATTCTGACTAGCCCATTGGAGGAAGCAGGAAGAAGTGAAGAGATTAAGGCCCATAAGTAGACAGCCACCAAGAGATGTTTGTGCCGCATGTTTACAGACTTCCTGTAGAAAAAAAAGTTACAATTAGTAAGATGTTGCAGAAGGCCAAAATCAATGCATCTTAAAGAATCAATCACCATATCCATCACCATGATCATCAAGAGGCCTGTAACTCAAGTCGTTAAAGAACATGTTGCGAGTTGATGAGTTTTTAAGATTTCCATTTTCAAAGGGCTTTCAACTAAATGGTTAAAAAGTGTTTACCCTGCATCAAATTCTTGTGTTCAAATCCCCTCACCAATATCGCTTGTATGAAAATAATTTCCAAATTCAATGAGCTTAGCTATAATAACAAGAAGTAAATTGCATTTGGGTAAGCTAAAATGTAAGTGGAATAGGAACTTAGAAGCAGAACAAGCTAGGGTTACTGACCAAGTAAGAAAGATCACTTGTAAAAATTCGAAGCTGAAATTATATTCGTATCACTTCACTTCTGTTGTAAGATAATATTACACATACAAAACGATCCTATCTCTAAATACGCGAGTTAGGCCAGTTGGTCAAACGGTATAAAATAATATTGCACCTGAATTAGATTAGAATATCGCCTTATCAACGAAAGGAAAAACCCCATCTCGAGAAACTGAGCAAAACATTACACAAGATGCTACTGCTATATATGCATAAGAAATCATGAACTACTCATGTGACTGATGAAATAACTTGATTAATTATTTTGGTTAGTTCTTGAGAACCCACAAATTAAAGTAGATGGTCACGATGATCATGAAGATTTAGTGATTAGTGCTCAAACCTTGATTAGCAATTAGCTTGGAGGAAGTGGAGCTGCTATGATGGTGGATGATGAGCCAAGAAGAAGAAGAAGCATCCAGAAGATGAAAATGTAATCCACAATGGTAGGAGATCACTTTCCTTCTTATAGTGGTCCATACAGAGACAACACCATTGGTTACTCGCAAGGCCACGCGCATTTCCATGCTCGTGAAAATCAACAGTACCCTGCTAATTTGTAATTTGGAGAAATAAATTTGGTAGGGGAGGGCTACGGAATTATGGCAACTCTCACACTGGATAAGTTTGCACGCGTTGAAAAGGACCAAAATATAAGGGATTTTATGATTTTGTGAGGGATCCAAACGGCCAATTATGTGGTCAGGTTAGCTCTACAAACAATGTTTTCTCCCTTGGCATGGACTAAAAGCAATTTCAAGATCGTTCGACTACCGATGTCATAATTTCAATATTTAACGAAAAAAGACATCATTGGTTTATTTATTAGATAACTGATAAATGTGCTCCTGCAACATTGCAAGGTGAAAAAAAGAATGAGACGAGTGAAAATGAAAGTTAAAGCAAGAAAGTTGTCAACAATCCTTTAATCATAACCTGATTGAAACAAAAAGAGGCAGAAAAATTAAGTGAAAAATTAAGTGAAAAAACTGGATTTCAAAGGACGAGTAAAGAGTTTGGGTGGAAGGAAAGGTAGTACGTACGTTTCTACGGGCATGGCCATGCAGTTGTTTCTGATGAGAAGCTACCGAGAAGTTTCATAGATAACGAGACGTGGACAAGAAGGAGGGTGGTGGGGGTGTGGGAATCAAAATTGAAATCCTTGTCCTTTTGCAAATAACACTCAACAACCAATCTTCAATTTCCAAACTACAACTAAAAAATCTGGTGAGAAATACAACAAACAAATTAAAGGATTAAGAGTCAAATTGCACACTATTGAGAGTATGAATTTATATATCAGAAAAATGATGAATCTTATATGAGTAATGGAGCTACTTGGCGTAGATGGACATGGTACACCATCGTGGTGGTGTCCGAACACAACGTCATGTGAAGCGAAATTAACAAATAATATTGTATTATTATACCGAAACAGCATAGGGTAACGGTGTACCCGACATATCTAAGTTGCTCTTCATAAATGTATAATGAAATTGACGTGCCGAATAGTACTTTATCTCCAAATGGTATCATACAGTGACAGTTATACTGAAAGAAGTTATACCCATGACCAAAAAATGAGCCCAAAAGAATTACAACACATGTCTCAGTCTCCACGTGAAGAAAAAGAGATGGATTGCATGCAGCCCATAAATTTTAATTTTGGGTCAGTAGCCCATATTATTGGAGATAGTAAGAATGTGACACGTGGTACACAAAGCTGCCGTTGTTCCACCATCCATAAATAAACTGTCAGTTTTGGAAGAGATTTTTCCTGTGACTGAAATACGAGATGGTACATCACGGGTCACTATATAAATAGTGTAATATGTGTATTAAAAATTTAATAATTTAAAAAATAAAATTTATCACTACTTGCATAAAAACATGTGATATACCCTATTGTTCCCGTCGTAATGAAAATTTTCTCGAGTTTTGAAAGAGATTTGGGACCCAACCCGAACCAAATGCGTTATGCAACCCCATTTACATGTCCCACTTGCGATGCAGAATTGCAGATCCCCCTCCACCCTCCATCAACCTTTTCGTGCCCGCCGTTCTCCTTCCACTAGGATTGGAATACTCTGATCTCGGACGGTCGATAATTTCCCGAATCGGGGCAGCTTTTAACCAGTCCCCATAACCATTTCCATCACCCCGATGATGCTCAAAAGAACAATCCATATTCGTATGCCCAATTCGTCCACACTTATAGCAAAAATCCTGGAGCCGTTCATACCTAAATTCAAGCCAGGTTTCCTGTTTCTGCTTCCTGGGCAACCAACATCCCGTGAGAAGGGGCTTAGAGGTATCAACGATCACTTTCGCTCTAAAAAACCCCCTTGCCAAAGACGGGTTTTCCACTTCCTCCACCTGCCCAATTGCCGAAGCTAACCTCGTGAGATTCGAAGACGAACAGAGACATAACGGAACACCCCGAATTTGGACCCAAAAGGGGACCAAATCCCATTGAATTTCCTCCAACGCTAAGTCCTGAGACCACCATTTAATTGAGAAATTTTTCTTCATCACAGCCCAGGGAACTTGAGAGAGAATTTGCCTGGCCGAGGTCTCATCTGGGACTATAATGATATACAGATTATCCTTCACCCACTTAACTTGCATCTCGCCTATATCCTTCCAGGCTGCCCGCAGAATGTTTCTGACCCCCCACTTATTGAGTTGCTTCTCGTATAATACCACTCCCACCAGTTTCACGCCGTTCTCCATCGGAGTTAATTCCAAAGATTCCTCTAGGTGTACGACCAGATCCTCCATCGCCGATTGCACCTGGCCACGATCTTCCACAGAACCCGCACTCATGAGGTGGATGTGGGTAAATGTAAAGATGATAGAGAAATTGGTACTTCTTTCTATGAGGCCCAGAGAATGAGCGCTTGCTGGAGTGCGTGTTGAACCCACTACAGTGTTGGGATGGAGGGTAGATAACACTATGCGAACCACTCCATCCATGGTTAAGAACCTGACTAACAAAGCAATAACTGCTCTTAATTGAAACGCCACCAACCTCTGTAGATAAATCATTAAGCCTCCGACCATGCAAGAGAGGGGCGCAATTAATAGAGACCAGACACACCAAAACACCACGACAAAAACACTCTCACAGAGGAGAGAAAGAAGCTCACTACGGAGGGCTCTCATCACGGAGAGATTAGTCTAATTTTTTACTTGATTGTTTTCTCTCCCGCTTCTCATCCATTTCAGACTTCCAGCCGTCCGAAAATTTATGGGGGATGGCAGCGCATGCGAGACACGGTGACTCCGTCGTGTGAAGCTCTGGTGGCCAGTAAGGAGGACCCCTTACGCATTGAAGCGGCTCGCCTTCCAAGTAATATACAGATCTCGAGACAGATTGGTGGGTCTAGCGTTGTGGATCTTACGATGGGATCCTGTCATTGGGCTCTAGATGATCACCTACATGTGCTCAATGATCAGTTGGGTCGGGCTTTTAATTTATTGGGCCCCCAACCCAGCCGATCTTTGGACTTTCACTTCCCACTGGATTTGAGCCTATCAGTGGAACTAGTTCAGCTAGATGAGGGTCCGTATGAAGTTAATGGGCGGACTGCTGATGGTTCGAGGTTGACGAATGACGAGGTTGCCCAAGACGTGGTTCACCTTAAATCAACATCTGCTTTGGAGAGCCCTTCGTTGCACATCTTTCCGACATCTATATTGGATCCTCCTACTCATTGGACTGCCCTCTCTCGTAAAGGTTCCAAACAAAAGAGAATGCTCGAATTACAGCAGTCAGAATCAGGCCTCTCGGCCACGAAGAAGATCAAGAAGGGAGATGGTGGTACCCCGCGTCAGATGAAAGCGCGGTTTCGGAATATTTGTGTTCAGAGCAGCTCTGTGGAGGGGGAGCGAGACTCCTTGGTGCGTCAACCTTTTCTGGAGCTTTCTTCTCCATGCCCAGCCCTTGGAATCTTTTCTGAAGGAAGTGGAGACTTGAAACTGAAAGTTAGGCAAGAGAAAATGCAGGAAGGCTCATCTTGTGGCGGTGGCGACTGGCCCTTAACAGCCGCACGGCAGTCATGAACTACCTTCTTTGGAACTGCCGGGGTCTGGGGTCGACCCGGTAGTTCGAGCCCTCCGTGGGCTGATCAGGAAACATAGACCCTCTATGATCTTTTTATCTGAGACGAAAATGAAAGATCATAGGATTGACGGTATTCGTAGGCGTATGGGGTACCCCTTTGGCTTCCATGTTTCGTCGATTGGTCGGGCTGGGGGTTTAAGTTTATGATGGGTTGAGTCGATGAATGTTAACATTCTCTTTTCGTCTGCTCACATTATTGATGTGTGTTTCAGCTTGGAGGATAGTCGCTCTTGGGTGCGTTGTACTTTTGTTTATGGCACACCATACCGAAGAGAGAAGCTGGATTTATGGAATTGGATGTCTAACTACTTTGGTCCGACGGATATTCCCTGGCTTTGTGGTGGGGACTTCAATGAGTTTGTGTGGGACCATGAGAAATCGGGGGGAGCTAATGTCTTGTACAATAGACCTGGGTATTTGCACAACTTTCTGAATGCGGCCGACTTGGTGGATCTGGGGTTCAATGGTCCGAAGTTCACATGGCGTGGTATGCGGTATGGTAAACTTGTTGAGGAAAGGCTTGATAGGGCGGCTGTTAACTTTCTTTGGCAAAATCTTTGGCCCCATACTTCTGTCCTTCATGAGACGGCGATTAGCTCGAATCATTGCCCAATCGTGGTTCAATCCCAACCCTCTGCGCGTAAGGGTAAACGGCTATTCCGTTTTGAGGCGTTCTGGGCTAAGGAGGAGGATTGTAGGGATATGGTGGCTAAGTGCTGGAGCTCTCCAGGTAGGGGGCGGTGGTTTGACTCGTGGAATCTGAAACTTTCAATCTGCAAATCTCATCTTATCAGTTGGAGTCGGAATAAGTTTAAACGGCGTGGCTTGGAGATCGAGGAGTTGATGCATCAACTGGATTTGCTTCAGCATCATTGGGAGGATAATGTTGAGGAGATACATGTCGTGTCTAATCGCATTGATCAGTTGCGGGAACAGGATGAGCTTTACTGGTTGCAGCGGTCTAGGGTTAACTGGTTACGTGATGGCGACGCCAATACTGCTTTTTCCATCGTACGACTCTCCAACGAAGACGGGTTAATTCCATTGTTAAGTTGAATGATGTGGATGGCTCTTGGGTGGATGATAGTCGGAGGGTTTCCGTTTTAGTGGAGGAGCACTATAAATCCCTTTATACTTCTGTGGGTTGTCGGGATTGGGGTGATATTCTCAACTGTCTGGAACCTCTGGTTTTGGAGTTAATGAATACTGACCTTATCAAGCCTGTTTCTGAGGAGGAGATCAAGGCAGCTGTTCATCAAATGGGGGGTTTGAAGGCTCCGGGACCAGACGGGTTCCAAGGTATTTTTTATCACTCCTTCTGGGACATTATTGTTGCTGAGGTGAATGGATTGGTGATGGATTTCATGCAGGG